CCTGAATCCTTATTTAACATATGTTGGGCCTTGGCTTTAGGGTTCTACGATTTAGGTATTTCAGAGTTCAGGGGTTAAAGGCTTAAGGTTGCAGGTTTAGGGCTTTGCAAACAACATGATTGGTTTCGGCATATTATGTTTAGGCTGTGCAGCACATTTCTTGTCACAGGGATCCAGCCTGGGGTGGCGAATGGGCCCCGCAGTAATCTGGACTCAGACAGCCTGACTGGAAGACTGAGGGAACATGGATAGCGTGTTTTTAAGCAGGAATACAGTGGACCTTTCCCATCTGCTGCTCCTTGATACTGGAATTCCCCATATCCAGCCCAGGCGCTATGCTCACACGCGACAGCCATTTCGCGCGGGAGCCCTGAGGTATGGAGTCAGAATACAAGGCCATGCTTGCAGTGTTCTGCAGGGCAGTGTAGGTCCCAAAGACGAAGAGAGATATATAAATCACGGGGAAGCTGTCGAGCTCCACACCTGCAAGCTCAGGCGCTTAGGTTAAATTCCAAGGCTGAAGGTCTCTTTCCTACCACTATGAACTTTGTAGCCGTCATATGACTCCTTCTAGAAGATTTCTGCTTGGCATGGATCGCCTGCAACGGAGAAGCCCACGGCGAGGACGGAGAGGCCCGCACACCACTCCAAGATTTTGCTGCGGGAGACCTTGTCTGTAAGAATCCCAGCCGGGCCCGCCAGCAGGATCCTGAGAGTATGGGATTTGGACTTGCCAGATCATAGTGGACTCAGGGATGCATGTAACCTCCTAGAAAGACCTAGGGCTTTGCGTGCCCTGAAGCGAAGCTTGAGGCTAGGGCTGGCAAGCCCAAGTAAATTACCAGCTCAGCCATCGAGGGTCTGACTCAGTCCAGAAATGGATTCTGCCCATCCCACCGCCGTGTTGGAGTTACCAGCCATGATGAACAGGTAGGTGTCAAAGAGGCCAAGCTGGGCTATCGAAGAGAATACAGAAAAAATGCCATTGTACCTCGACAGCTCTTGAAGCAGAAATTCAATGCCCGTGATCTACCAAGGCGGCTGTTTCTCAAGACCAGGCGATATACCCCCCCCAACTACAACCAGCCTCATGATTTAGTTCAAAAAGCTGGACAAGATTTCTGCAATGCGTGGAGGGGCACCACAGCAGTTTCATAACATTAGCTTGCAGCTCTTCTTCGGTCGGTTTCTTCTTTTCCGCCAGCTTCGCCATGGCGGCTTAAAAGGGAGGGTCGACGTCTGAGATACAGGTGCAAGTGCATTGAGCAAATGCTCTGCTGGGCTGTCTTCCTTAGCAGCCTTCGTCCCGTGCCTCATGGTCGTCTCGGAAGCAACCAAAGAAGTATTTGCCGATCAAAGAAGTATTTGCCGCCCTGAACTCAACCGCTGGCACATCCTGACATCTCAAGCTCCTGAATGCAACGTCTAAGCCCTTCGGAATACCACATGAAACGCATCATGTCAGACGCAAGGCCGACGCAGAAGGGCGCAAGTAGACAAAGATTAGACTTGTTCTCTGTCAATGAGGCTAGATTAGCCGGTCCAGAAATGCCAAGATCATACCAACATATCCGATGTTCAAGCACTAGGACTGAAATGTAGCTGGCAGGCTTGTTCGAATTAATGCAAAGTCGTAGGCAGAAGCACATGCTGCACCACACTTCCAAGCACCCAGCTTGCAAAACATAAATAATTCGTGAGATCTATCGCGGTGCCCAACTTGCTCCTTCGGGCATCCTTCCAAGCCCTCTGCATTCCCTGGGGCCCAGAGCGTACGTACCGAACAAAGGGAAGAGATCAACAAGAGCAAGCACAATCACACCTCAGCATGATCCCAATGGTATTAGGGCCAGCTATGACAATTTCCTACCCCATCTTTGCTGATGCTACGGCACGTGCTCTCGTGTAGCACCAGGATCCAAGTACGTTAGCATACCAGGTAGGGTTGAGACCCACTCCTGAAAGCAAAAAGAGCAGGCTGCTTCGACAACGGACCGTCATGTAAACCAGAATGCTAGTATCCAGTCTTCATTTCATGGACCCCTACTAAGGACTCATGAGTTTGCCAATCTCCCAAAATGTCAGCCTTGAGCTGCTCTTTCATCTTCTCAGGCATCTTGTCATACGGCCCTGAGAGTCGAGTCGTTCAGTTCTAGGAACTATGTGTGGTGGAAGTCCTGAAAAGGAGCATGGGCTTCCCAATGCACCTCAAAGATACTCTCCGGTGCAACCCCTTAGATTCAGCTCCCACACCCCCCTTGCCGCTGCCTCCCCTGCCTAGACAACCAGCCCCCTCAAGACTGCAATCTCCGTCTGCTACTAAGCCGGGAACGGAGGCCCTGTCCATGGAGGTCCGCCCGGAACGCCCAGGCGGCTTCCTGAAAGGCAACAGGTAGAGGGCCATGCGGGAGGAGAGGCGTCATGCGCAGCGAGGCAGGAGGGTTAGTCAGAAAGAACGCGGGGGCGGGTCAGGCACAGGAAGGGGTCGAGTCGAGAATGACACCTAAAACCTAAACTGTAAACCCTAAATCCTAAACTCTAAAACACTGACTCGCCCCCGCCTGTTCTTGACTCAGGCCCCATCTAGGTCTGACTGTTCTCACCTGCTCCGTTTCCGACTCAGGGTCCTTGCGCATGACTCAGTCAACATCCGGGCCGAGCCCGAAAACCCTCAACAGTGCAGGCATGTCCAAAACCTACCTACAGGTAGAAGACTTGGCTGGAGCGCCTGGAGATGAGCTCCACCAGGATATTCGTCATCATGAATGCAAATCATCCATTCCTGGGAGGCTTAGGCTGAGACCAAGGGTTGGGGACACAAAGCTTCATGCTGCGTATGAGGTTCAGGCTTGAGGTCTGCATAGCTCGTACGTTAATCATCATGCACTTCTCGGGTATTGTAGCCGGAAATCAGCCAAATAAAGATGAGCAGCAACGACATCCTCTCATGGCAAATGCAGATCTACATTCAACAAGACATGCGAGATTTGAGTAGGTGGAACTTCATAGCAGGAAAAAGCAGGTCACAGTCACGGAAGCTCTGAACAGTAAGACTGAGAACATGCAAGATATGACTAGCCGCTATACAATGGCCAAGATGTGCTTATTCCCAATTGCAGGATCCCTCAGTCACATTATGTTGCCCTTGCAAGGACAAGCAGCGAAGGGCTCTCCATCACTGCGCTGGAGCCCTGGAGAGGCTTTCGGGTAGGGGATGGAGCATTGCTTCAGGGAGCTTTACGGGGGTTGGGGAATTCAGGCTGAAGGGCTTGGGATCAAGGGTGACGGGCGGGTGCGCCCAAAGCAAGTAAAGCAGGATTATTGTTTGCAGGTTCGCTGTCGCAAGCATCCTCCGTCTTCGGGGTTACAGAGCAGAGGGCTCCACTTTTCTTTGCATACCCTGGTCTAGGATCCAAGGCCTAAGGTTTAGCCTTTCAACCTTTTGCCTGGCATTGGATTTTTGGTTTGCCCCGATGGATGAAAGAGTTGGGTAGATTATCCTTGCAATGACAGGGCAGTCTTCATAACAGCAATGCCGTTCGTGTGTGTTTTATGTGATGCAGGAGCCGGAGACTAGGCCCGGGGCTTGGGCATTTAGTGCCAACGGCGCGAGACTTAAGGTGGTGTGCGTGGATGTGGCACTCAGCAGTCCCTGACAGCTCTGGTGGAGGCTTGATTTTAGACTCAAGACCCGAATGTAGTTTCTTGAAGGCATGTGTTGAGGGCCTCAACACATTGTGGACTGAAAGCCCCGACGGGGCAATCCTTAAGCGATTTTACACCACAAGGGTCTTCCAGGCCTGAGCTGTCCAATCCTTGACCTTTGCAAACGAGGCCAAAGACATGGAAGTTGATCCACCTGGTGAATGGCTTGGGATTTAGCAGATCAACGCTTGCACCACACTAAAGAAAACTATTCATGCTGCGACATTCTCGGCATGTGGAATCGATACGCGTCTGGAATCTGCAGTGCAGCGGGAGCAAGGCTGGAAAAATGAGGCCCTGAATAGCCGAAAGCACAACCTCAGGCTGGCAGCACAAGTCAATGTTGCGGGTCTCCCCAGAACCTCTGTACATCTTTGCCCGGAACATGCCGAAGTCCAAAGAAAGTACTCCACCAACACTAGCTGCCCCAACGAGCTGCTGGTTAATGAATCAATGCAAGACGCTATCAGAAGAAGATTGTACTTGCTTCATACACTCGTCCAAACACACATGGAACACCATGAAGGCCCATTTCGACCGAAAACCAAAACCCCACCTGCCTGCCAGCCAACCAGACACTCTCCAGCCTTTCCCTCCTTTCACGAAAAACCTACTAATGAAGCGAGACTACTTGGTCACTATGACAACACAATATCATACAGAACGAAAATATAGCTCGCCCTCTGATCCGTCTCAAACCAATTGAAAGGTAACCAAACAGGAAATCTAACGTGCGAGGAAACTTCACCAAAAAAATCCTCTGAACCGCAAACTCTGAAGGCTCCGATTTAAACTTCATGCCGCTTCGGCCTTCCTCAAGCCTCAAATCTATAAGCATCCCTCAAGGGATTTTGCTGTCACGCATCTTGCCATGTGCAATGTTTACCTTATTTGCAATATTCCTTGCAAGTTCCCTGCAACCCGTATATGCCTGTAGACCCAGAAGCCTAAACATGCTTAAGCCCTGGACTCTTATCCCTGGCCCCCGACCAGCACATCTTAACAACCGGCTGATCGCGCTCCCCGATGATCTTCTGCTCGAGTTGCGGCTCCATCTGGCCACCCGGAACAGGAATCGAGCAGGGGTTTGTGGCCTTATACTCAACATCCTCTGGGTACCGTCTTTTTGAGAAAGATTGTGTGGTATGGACAGGGCAACGGCGTTCAAGGGCTTTCAGTCTTTCAGTGCTTTAGAGCTGCAGCCTAGGACTGATGACATAAGACATCTGCTTGGGCGTCAAGAGTCAGAATGCTGGACTTGACATAAAACTGCCATGGGACCATGAGGGTCTCTTCCTCCCTGATTTGAGGAACAAGGCTCTGACGCAGCTGGAGGCTGATCAAGATAGCACCCATTTGGATGGGGGAACCCAAGGTGCAGGATTTCCCTGCACAGTTGCAGGCAATGACTAGAAAGAGTTTCTGCACGTGTTGCTGCATGCACATCAGGACCATGGCAAGAAATGGTTATGGAGATCCATTCTTGCCTCTCGTCGCTTCCGGTTTAGGTATTCTAGGAGTTTCTGGCATGGGGCTGAGGACCTGGTGCGCGCTTGATGCGTTGCAGCTTGGCTGTAGTAAGGTTACAGTGGTTGTGACTCAAGTCTAACGGCCTGGGTGCGCAGCCATGCTTTCCAATGCTTGACTTCGTGGTCTGGGCTCTCATTTGCTGTTCTATGAACATACCAGCCTGAAACGTGTCCACTGCACATTCCTGTCTTAAAGGCAAGCCGAAGGAGCCCACTGGATTGTCCGGGACCTTGGCATCGCAGTGTCGGGTTCTTGGGCAGTGATTCAGGGATTCACTTCCAAGTTTGGCTTACTTTCACGTGATAGGTGTGCGCAGGGCTTCGAGGTTGCAGCGCAAAGGAATGAGCATCAAATCTCCAGATTTGCAAACAAGCGCGAGGTGAGCGAACGCATGCCCACAGACCTCTCCAACTCCTTTTTCACTTTCTCTTCCATAGCAGCCCGGCACCTTTGGAGATCAGTCCAGCTCTATGCGGATAGCCAGCACTGAAGCTCAAGTGCCCACAGCTGCTTTTGAGGCGCTGGGGTTGCAACATCGGCTTCACAGAACAGAAGAGTGCTGCAGCCCCTAACTTCAAAATCTGTAACAATCAGGATGGAAAGAGGGTAGGTATGGCTTGATACTGAGGTGCCATTCTTCAATTCCTTCTTCCAAGCGCGCCTACTCCATTTACTGGTTCTTGTTCTTAGTGACAATCTAGGAGGAAGCCCTCGTCTCGTGCCATGCCAGGATTGTGTGGGAGCATCTTTGTAAATGCGAGGATTGCAGCCCGATGCTCTGCAAGCTAGCGGGCGTTCATCCATTTCCCGAGACTGGAAACGCGTTGCAATCAACAGGTGCTGCAAACAAAAGTTCAGCTTCAAAATGCAAACAAAAGATGTGAATTCATCGCAGGGGAATCTCACACTGGGTGGCTCAAGGCCCAAGCTCTTACCTTGCAATAAGAAACCTCTGAGACGCACAGGGACCCATTGCTG